TATGAATTATAAAACGATGTAAATTTTCATAAAATCATAGATGGCGACTGTGAAAATTGCTTTAACCGGGTACTCTAGTGTATTTGAATTTTCATTATTTTATTTAATTTTAGCATGAAGCAGTCAATACTCTTTTTTTCTATCATGTTTTGAGTTTTTAAAAATTGTTTACAATCAGTTTGTTCGTTTCAGAAAATTTGATATTGGTTTGTATGTCATTCAAACTTCCATCAATCCTCTCAGAGTTTACATTTATGATAAAGACGCACTCCTCCGGTGGTGTGGAAACAAATACAATCCATTCAATGCCAGTGATTTTCAGTCTTATGTTGTTGGAGATGATTATACACCGATCTGGGAGGTGAGTTGTTCATTCTTGTCTCGATTTTATTGACTATCAATGGTATGGAAAAATATTCATAGTGTTTAATGAAATGATATCAATTTTTGTCTAATCGAAAGATGCCAAGTTTGAGCAAATATTTTACCGAACTGAATTACAACATGAAGCAAACTTTAAATATCTATCTCAAGTCAATTGGTAAAGACCCTGAAATGATGTGGAACCGAATTGAAGAAGCAATTACGAATGTTTACAAAGAGAAAGATGCATCAATGGCAAGACTTTCTTCGATGACTTTTCCCGAATCAAATCGGTAATTTACTTTGTTTATATTGGTTTTTATTTCCTAAGACTGTGAATTTTCAACTGTTTATTATTTCTCTTTAATTTAGAAACTTTTTCGAGATGGTTCGATTTGACTTTTTAGTGGATGAAGTTCTCAATGTTTATCTCATGGAAGCTAACATGTCTTCCAACTTATCATCAGCTCATTTTGCTCCAAACAAATTACTTTATGAGCAAGTTATACAATTTATTCTCTCTGGTGGGACTAACTCGATTAGATGGATTCGAGGATTGGCCCCAATACGAATCTGATTCCTGGAATCTTCGAGTCGCTGACAAAGATCTAGCTGTTAATGAAGATTCATGCACATCGGAAGAGTGCTTCATGTCATGTCGTTCTGAAGTTTGTCGAACGTGTTACATGTGTTTATCAGATAGTCTCAAATTGAATCTCAAAGATTCTTATTTGGAGCATAGTTCAAAATGGAACTCTAAAAGATTAATACCATCAACGAAAAATAACTCAGTCAATCCAACTGATACAATAAATCAAATCCAAGCAGACTGGTTCAAAGGTAAATGTGCTATAAATAAAGAGTGGTGCACATGAAACCATCAGTGAGTTATTTTAAAAATCAAAAATCACGCCTTTTATATTGTTGAATGAGATCGAATCAAACCTTTCAATATCGTTAGAATCATTATATGATTGTTAAAGTACTTGTCCAACTTGCATCGTTCACACTAGTTAAAATTATTGTTTTTAAGTGACAATCATCAATTAAAATGCCCATAATTGTTTATTGATCAATCACATTTATTTCCCGGTAAACTTAAATTGTCTTTGAAGTCTTGAATTGCTGGAGAATCAAGCTATAATACAGAAAGTGTTCAGTTGGCCGAGAAAAATTCTGTTTTTAACTGCTCGATTTTATCAATAAAACTAAGAAATTTTGTAAGGGTAAATCAACACTTTTGCAAGCAATTCGGGCTGTTAGCACATCAAATTGCTATTTCTTAGCCATTCAAGAGGAAAGTTCTGAGAACGAGATGTCACTGGAAATATCACATACATTAATCTGTAATGTTAGAAGCGGTTTGAAATTAAGAAACAATCCGAAAATTGGAGCTCATAATCCATGAATCTGCATATGATCACAGCTGTTGACTTTGGATGATTCCAGTTTAAAATTTTCACGAATCCAATTACTTTTAGTTTTATCCTGAGTCATTAAATACATGTATTTGAAAATCCTGACTAAAATAAACACGTGAGAAAATATTAACGTCATCATAATTATGATACCGTCCCTTACTGTAGAGAAGACACGAGCTTCAATTTTTTGTTGTCTAGACTCTAGACTTTAGAGTTTTTTAATATCAGTTGGTTTGAGTTCAAATTACATAAATTTGTTTAATTTGGTAATATCCTTAGTTTTGTGACCATGAAAGTGAATGACAATGTGATTAAATTTCTTGAGAGCTTAAATTTACCCGTCGAAGCCTCTTCTCAAGATGGTTCTGAGGTTTTAAGACAAATCAGTCATGAGGAGTTTAAAAATAAACTACTACCGGCCTTACAGAGATCAGTTCTCCGTAACCCTGAGATTAATCTTGAATTGGCTTCCAAGTTGATCAAAAATTTGTCCCTCGATTTGAGTCCGTACGTGGCTGAGCTTGGTAAAATGATTGGTGTTAATTTAATTGCTAAAGATGATGATCTCAGAAAAATTGCCATTACCGGAACGCAAAACTTAGCTGCTCAATGTACTGATTCAGCAGCGATTGAAACTCTTTTAAATCTTTATTTTGGCATTCTAAAAGGATCGGAAGGTAAATTAACAATAATTACACAAAGATATGGTACCCTTAGTGGAATAGGTGCTCTCAGTCATCACAGTGTTCAAGAGGGCTCATCAGCATCAGCATTGAGTGAAATAGCGTGTCAGCATCTGTTGACATTTTTGAAATCTGAAGTTCATGAAGGAACCATTGTTCATGCTTCCAGTCAAATGCAACTTTGGTGTCAAAAAATTACTGTGGGTGGAATGCCAACTGCGTTAATTAGTCGGGTCAAGGAGTTATGCAACGCTAAGAATACTCAACCTCTTGTCAAAAGTGCATATTTTGCGTGTGTCAATGCTGCATTAAATGATGACAACGTCAACCAAGTGCTTAACTTAATGGATTTGCTAACAGCATCGGCTGCAAGGGCGTTCAACGCATCGGTTTCACAGATTCCTATGATCACTGAGGGGCTATATGCAGCTGTTATTATAATCAAAGTATTCTATCGAAATAAACAACTAGGTAAGAAAGAAATCAGGAATCATTTGGATGTATTTTCAACAGCCATTTTTATCTTTGTTATCTTTAGAAACAAAATATAAATCGACTATGAACGGTCTTTTAGAGTTGGCGAAGTTACCTTACCTACAGGATAAATTTGTTGTTCAAGTACCGGCCTCAGCTCAATTAATGTTGCTCTCGTTTATTGAAGAAATATGTCTCAATTATGAAAGCAAAATCAAGGATAAGATCAAGTTTGTGTCTCAATTTCAATTTGCTCTGCTTTGCATTGAATATTAATGTGCTCTTTTTTTGTTTAGATTTATAGGTATTCCCATGGTACATCTCATGGTATCGCCAGGATTTTCAGAGGTCCGAAAACAATCAATTAAAGTATGTCGTAAATTGTTAGACAGCATAAGTGAGGTGGATTTCTATTCATCATTGATGTCAAGTTTCAAAGAGATATTTGTAAAACACGAGAAGACAGCAATTTCAAACAAAGAAGAAAGTGAAACCACTGTTACAGCTGATGGATCAAAATCAGTAAACATTCAAGCTTTGATCAATTGCATTACAAGTACTAGTTTAACCGCTGGTAGATTATCTGAGGATCATGTTTGTAGAGTATTGACTGCTTCATTTGTTGCATGTCATGTTCCTGTTCTTTATGAAGCTGAACCCAAACTTTGGATAACAATGGTCAAAAAATTGGCTGAGCCAAGCAAAGTAGACACTTTAATCACCTCAATAGCTGGTGAACTATGTGAGTCAATTTTCAAAGAGAAAGACAGTCTCCCTCTTCAATGTAATTGCATCAAAAGTTTAGTATGTTATTTTCCTGACCAATTCATGGATCGAATATTTGCTAAACTTAGGGAAATCCTTGACAATCCTGATCTCCAGACAATCACAGTTGAAGAATTTGAAATATATAAATTTCCAGAAGGCGAGCTATGGAATAAAAGTGTTGTAACTGCACTTAAAGAAGAAACGCAGACGAAGAACATCAAACGAGAAAATAAGTTATACTCTTACAAAGAACAATTAGCTGAACTTGAATTACGAAAAGAAATTGAGGCGAAACGAAAGAAACAGAATAAAGAAGAACCATTAAATGAGAAACAAATGGCAGCCAAAAAAGCACAACTAAAAAAAGAATCCGAAATTCGAGCTCGCCTTAAAACTTTAAATGATGATCTGAAAATTGCCATCCATTATCTTCATTCATTGGTTGAAGGAAACAACATGCAAACAGCTTTTCAAGTTTACAAAGTGATTCCTTCGCTTATCAACCTCATACAGTCACCTCTTTGCTCTGAAATTATTTCTAATACTTTCATATTTCTAGCTGAGTGTTCCTTCCTTTATAATCAAACTCCAGATGATTTTGATAAAAAAATTGGCTACACCATATTACGGCTGTTAAAACCATATCATCCAATTTCAGAAGAATGGGTTAAAGAGGATCTTAAAGTTGTGACTGAACAAATTATCAATTATCTTCACGAGAAAACTTGTCCTCCACAATCAAGAGACAAGTACGAGAAACGATTGGCATCATCGGCTTACATGCGATTAACAGCTCCTGCTTTTACGTATTGTTTCCCTCTTTTCAGTTATCTCATGAGAGCTGACGTAAAAGATGCTGAATTAATCGAGAAATGTTTAGAAATAACAATTGAACATTCAAAGATGCGATTTGAAGAGCCTGAGATTGATGAAAATGACCAGATTGATGAAAGCGCATATCTTATCAATCCTCAATATCTTCCTAGATATGAAGCTTTGAAAAGGTTGTACAACTTTTTAGAGGAACCAATTCCTTACCTTGAACCACTCATCATGAAAGCAATCAGATCAATTGCAAAATCTAGTAGTGGTGATGAAGGTTGTGCAAAACCTGACAAAGAAGAGATTTTATTATATCTGGATAGACTCAAAAGTGAACTGGAAACTGTGCGAGAAGTCTCTCTTGACTCACTGATATTGATGGCCGATTATCTTCGAACAAATAAGGAGACACCAGTTAAAGTTGCTCTTCGACAACGAGGCTGGGTTGTTAGATTCGATACGAACGAAGAACTCGTTTGTAAAGCTCAAAGGTTATGGGAAATGATTGAAATTCAAAGTTCGCCTATTCTCTGTTCAGCCATAATTGAAGATCTCAATGAAGCAGGACCTAATTTAAGGTCTTCTGTAGCTTCTGCAATGGATGGTCTACTCTCAATTTATCCTAATGAAGTTAAACCAACAGTTCACAAGCTAATGACTTATTATAAGAATCGTGCCAAGGCTCCTCCTCCAGTAAAGGATCCATATGGTCGTATTAATCCTGAAAGTCAAATTGACCCTTATGAGCCTAGACTTGGGGCAGCTCTTGTTTTAACAAAAATAGCTGGTCACCTGAATGATCAACTTGTGGTAGAAACAGCTAATTTCTTAATTCCATTGGCTTTAGGTGACTGTAATGAACACGTTCAAAGTCAAATGTTGGAAGTTGGTATTAGCATAGCCGATAAACATGGGAAAAAATGCATGAACCAATTGTTAAATATATTGCGTAAATACTTAGACAAGGCTCAGGATAATACACAAAATGGCATAGTTAAAAGAAGTGTAGTCGTTCTCATGGGAACTCTTGCTAGACACTTGGAAACTGATGATGCAAAAGTTAAGCCGATTGTCGTTAAATTGATCGAAACATTGTCTACTCCATCTGAACTTGTGCAAGAAGCTGTGGCTAATTGCTTACCTCCGTTGATACCTGCATTTAAAGACGAGGCGCCAATAATTGTACAGAAATTGTTGCAGCTTTTGCTTGAATCGGATAAACATGGTGAACGTCGTGGTGCTGCTCACGGTATTGCTGGAATTGTTAAAGGTTTAGGTATCTTATCATTGAAACAACTTGGTATTATGGAAACACTTACAGAAGCAATAACTAATAAGAAAAATGCTAATCATCGTGAAGGTGCTCTTTTTGCATTTGAGCGTCTTTGTGTTATGTTGGGAAGACTATTTGAGCCTTATATCATACATATTCTACCCAATCTTTTACTTTGTTTCGGTGATAAGAGCACCAAGGTTCGTATAGCGACAGATGATACAGCAAAGGCTTTCATGATCAAATTAAGTGCCCACGGCGTTAGATTAGTCTTACCATCACTCCTTGATGCTTTGGAGCAAGATTCATGGAGAACCAAGACAGGTTCAATTGAACTACTTGGAGCTATGGCCTTTTGTGCTCCCAAACAATTATCATCTTGCCTACCATCTATTGTTCCTAAACTTATGTCTGTTCTGTCCGATTCTCATCCTAAAGTCCAGCAAGCTGCTGAACAAGCCTTGAAACAAATTGGTTCTGTTATCCGTAATCCAGAAATTCAAGCAATCGTTCCAATTTTATTGGAAGCACTTCAAGATCCTGCTAATAAAACACAAAAATGTCTAACAACTATGCTAAACACTAAATTTGTTCATTTCATTGACGCACCATCATTAGCTCTTATCATGCCGGTTACTGAACGAGCTTTTCAAGGTCGCTCTACTGAAACTCGTAAAATGGCTGCACAAATTATTGGTAATATGTACTCATTGACTGACCAAAAAGACCTTTCTCCATATTTACCATCGATTATTCCTGGTCTTAAACAATCTCTTCTTGATCCAGCTCCCGAGGTTCGTGCAGTTACTGCTCGAGCTCTTGGAGCAATGGTCAAAGGAATGGGAGAAGAAGTTCTTGATGAACTAATGCCATGGCTCATGGCTACTCTCACATCTGATGGATCATCCGTTGATCGATCAGGTGCTGCTCAAGGTTTAGCTGAAGTGATGGGAGGTTTAGGTCTTGAAAAGTTGGACCGACTTATGCCAGAAATAATTGCAACCTCAGAACGTAATGACGTTCCATCTCATGTTAAGGATGGCTACATTATGCTGTTTATTTATCTTCCAATGGTTTTCACTCAAGACTTTATTCCATACATTGGACGCATTATCAATCCAGTTTTGAAGGCATTGGCTGATGAAAGTGAATTTGTTCGTGAAACTGCTTTAAAAGCAGGCCAACGTATCGTCAATATGTATGCCGACACTGCAATCCAGTTGCTTCTTCCTGAACTTGAACAAGGTTTATTTGATGAAAATTGGCGTATCCGTTACAGTTCAGTTCAACTTCTCGGTGATCTTCTGTACAAAATTTCTGGTGTATCTGGTAAAATGACTACTGAAACGGCTAATGAAGATGACAACTTTGGTACTGAGCAATCATACAAAGCAATTATTTCTTGTCTAGGACTTGAAAGGCGTAATCGTGTTATTTCAGGACTTTATATGGGACGTTGTGATGTTTCACCAGCAGTTCGTCAAGCTGCTCTTCATGTATGGAAGGTTGTTGTATCCAACACTCCAAAAACCCTGAAAGAAATTATGCCTACTCTTTTCCTTCTGCTTCTTGGTTGCTTAGCTTCTAACAGCTATGATAAGCAGAAGATTGCTGCTAGAACATTGGGTGATTTAGTTAAAAAATTGGGAGAACGAGTTTTACCCGAAATTATACCAATCTTAGAACAAGGATTAGAATCTGATCGAGCAGATCAGCGACAAGGAGTTTGTATTGGACTCAGTGAGATTATGTCTTCAACAAGTCGAGAAATGGTTCAGGCATTTGTTGATTCTTTGGTTCCAACTGTTACTAAAGCTTTATATGATCCATTGCCCGAGGTTCGACAGGCTGCAGCAAAAACATTCGATAGCTTACACTCAGCGGTTGGTTCTCGAGCTCTTGATGAAATCTTACCTCATTTATTGAATCAACTTGGTGATCCTGTTCTTGGAGAGTATACTTTGGATGGTCTTCGTCAAATCATGGCCATCAAAAGTCGAGTTGTTCTTCCTTATTTAGTCCCACAGGTAATTTAAATTTTGTATTTTCAGTTTAATTTTGATTATTTATCTAATCATATTTTCCTTTATAGTTGACTGTTCCTCCAATCAACACTCGTGCTATTTCACTTCTAGCAACTGTTGCTGGTGATTCACTTTCTAGACATCTTGGTAAAATTTTACCTGCACTTCTTATTTCATTGAGTCGAGCACTGGATACACCAAATGAAAAACAGGTAAATATCAATTATTTATTATTTTGATATCTGAACGCTTATTGACATCTATTTATCACTTTCAGGAATTGGAATATTGTCAATCAGTGATTTTATCTGTCGTCGATGAACAAGGAACTCGAACCATTGTAGATCACCTTTTAGAATCGGCTAGAAATGAGTCAGTAATTGTTCGTCGAGCATCTGTTCAGTTATTATTTGTATATTGTTGTCAAACTAAAGCTGCCTTCTCTTCTTTGGTGCCTCAATTAATTCGTGGTTTGATTCTTCTATTCATCGACTCCAATGAACAAGTTCTCCAACTAAGCTGGGAAGCACTTGCCTCGGTAACAAAGAGTTTAGACTCTAAGGAACAAATTGAATGCCTTGGAGAAGTAAGATCTGCTGTGCGTCATGCAGCAAGTGATCTTAAAAAATCGACCCTTCTTCCAGGTTTTTGTTTAGATAAAGGTATCACACCAATTTTGCCAATCTTCCGAGAAGCAATACTCAATGGTAACCCTGAACAAAAGGAGCAAGCTGCTGATGGTTTGTCCGAAGTTATCCAATTAACTAGTCCTGAAGCATTAAAATCTTCTGTTGTTAATATAGCTGGCCCTTTAATCAGAATTTTAGGAGATCGATACTCTTGGAATGTGAAAGTTTCCGTCCTCGATACTTTATCACTTCTCCTTTCAAAAGCAGGTTCTTTCTTGCGTCCATTCATACCTCAACTACAGCAAACTTTCCTCAAGTCTTTAGTCGATAATAATCGTATTGTGCGCTTAAGAGCAGCTAATGCAATGAGTCATTTAATAGCCATTCACCCCCGATGTGATCCAGTTTTTGCTGAAATTCACAATAATATAAAAGCACTAACTGGAGGAGATGATCCTTCACAAAAAGAAACAATGTTGTATGCTTTGAGACTTGGTATTTTGAAAGCCGGAGAAAAGATAACGGAAAATAATAGACTGGCCATTGTATCGACGACAACATCATTACTTGATTGTATTAACGATAGTGTTCGAAATGCAGCGGCTTCCTGTTTAGGAACTCTTTGTAAATGGTTATCTAATGAGGAATTAGAAAATGTTGCGAAAGATCATCTTCTAGAAGATGAACCAACTTCATATTGGAATAGACGCCATGGTCAATCAGTAGCTCTACGAATCGCTTTAAAAGAGGCGCCCGAAAGAATGCTTAAACCAGAATGGGAAGAAAAGGTCGTCAAGCATATCCTTGCTCAACTAGCTACAGATCGGATTCCTGTTGTTTGCAGTGGAGTTAAATCTTGTGCCTATGTTTTTCTATATAAAATACCAAAAGATGACCAATTGCCTCAAAATTTAGTTTCCAGTTTTGCAAGAGTTAGTTATTTTTATTCATCAATTTGATTCACTCTTTCACATTGCTAATCCTTTCTCTTTCTTTTTTTACAGTGTATGAATCACGCAAATAATGAAGTCAAACAAACGGTGGCTAATTCATCAATATATTTAACTAAAAACCTCCCATGTCCGTTCCCAATGAGCTTCCTAAAAACACTTGTCCCCTTATTAGTTATGGGAACGAAAGAGAAAAATACGGCTGTTAGGTCAAATTCGGAGCAAGCATTGGTTACTGTTTTGAAATTAAGATCAGACGAAGAATGTGCTCAACAGCTGGTTGCTGCTTTAGATCGTGGTGCTAAAGAAGTCCTTCAAGAATGCATAAGCAAAACTTTGAAAAAAGTGTTGGCACAACCAGAACCTAAAGAAGAGCAGTTTGATGATACTTTACTAACATGATTGCGCGAATTGGATTAATTTTAATTTTCTTCCCTTTCCTTTCGCATTCATACCTTTTTTCTTGAATTTTCTAAATCACTCCAACTTGCTAACTGAATTTAATAAAAATATTTTGAAGACATTATTTTGTATTAAATCTCATTTCATTCCCGTTTCATTAAATCGCTTTTACAATCGGATGACAGACTCTAAAGATGTTTCAGCTGCCTCTTCGGATAATTTAAATCTATCACTAATCAGTGCCCATCTCCATTAACTATGACAATTAGCAGCGTCGTCATGCTATTGATAGTTTTACTACGCAAGATTTAACTAAAGAAACCATTGATGGTAAAGATTATTTTTTCAACTAATGACAGCAAAGAGTAAAGGAGAAGAGGTTTCTCTCAATACAATTTTGTGAAGCTTACAAAGTGGCTCTGGCGAGGGCGCTTTAAAGGTATTTTTAATAGATTAGATAAAAAAATTAGATTAAAATTAAATTGAAAGAGATTGAAAAAGTGACTGATTTGAGCGCCTCTCGTTGAGGACCGCTAACTAAACTTCTCATTGAATCCTATTGAGAGCTATCTCTTCTTCTTTACTCTTTGTAATGACAGTATTCTTAATAATCCTTGCCCAACCAAAAAGATCCAGCAGCTATAATCGATTGACAGATAAACAATCAATCATGTATTATATTACCAAGTGAATCTTCAATGAGTAAAATGAATAAAAGCACTATTAATGGCATTGGATTAACAATAGACTGTTAAAAAACTACTTTTCAGAAAGAAACAGCGCTTAAGATTTAAGTAATGAAAGGATTATACAAACGAATGCATTGAGTTTGACGGTGCTTTTCATTTACTTTGCGCATCCAATTCCCATCGATGTGATAAGATTACAATTAGGCATTAACCGTATATTCATCTATCACACCAATGGGAATTAGATGCGCAAAGAAAGTTAAAAGAACCGTCAAACTCAATGCATTCGTTTGTATAAATTATAAAAATAAAATTGCTTTAACCGGTTACTCGACAGTAACACTGCTGCCGAGAAGTCCGAGTCAAGGAATCCAACAGTTGCGCTATAACTGTTAGTTCTTTGTATGATCGTCTGAATTTTGATCAAATAGAATCATTTCATTTCATGATCAGTCTAATCACCTATGCAAATATTAAAGGACGAATTGTATGAAATCACATTACCATTTAAAGCAAGAAATATCGTTGCTCCATAATCAAAAACTTTAACCCGCTAGTGTTTGAAATAAATTTTAAATTCTTCATTACCAAATCGATCCACTTAAATTTGAACAAAATTAGTAAAAACAAGAGAAAAATAATTGATTAAATTAGGACTGGGCATCTTTATTAATGGCGGGAATTTAACAGTACGAGTTTTTATTGCATCTAATTTTATTGCCATTTTAATCACTTCGCGCTGAAATAAAGCATGTTACATGCATTAATTTCATATCTGCAAGGCCAATGTGCTTTAGAAATTTAATTTATTCAATTTTCAACAAACTTAATTAAGATAACCAAAAAAAAAATTTTCATGGAACCTTACAAAGACTGGATTCAATCCAATGGATTGAAGTTAATAAACTGTTTTGTTTAAGTAACAGTAGAGGGCTCTGCTTTCGTGGGCGCTTATTTGTTAGCTGAGAAATTTTCAGCAGCTTCAGACAAAATAAATTTAATGTTGATTAATTCTATTTTAAACAATTTTATTTTTTCCATTATTCATTGTAAATTTTAATTGTTGTTCCATGTAAATACATCTGGTTTCACCATGCCAGGATATCTTAAATTCATCGAACTTGAAAACTTCAAGTCTTACAAGGGACAACAAAAGGTTGGCCCATTGAAACCTTTTACCGCGGTTATTGGACCCAATGGAAGTGGTAAAAGTAACTTTATGGATGCAATTAGTTTTGTGCTCGGTGAAAAGGCATCCAATTTGAGAGTTAAAAAATTATCTGAACTGATCCATGGAGCATCAATAGGTCGCCCTGTCAGTAATTCAGCATCAGTCACTTTGGTGTATGAAGACTCCGAGAGTGGTCGACAGACAAGGTTTTGTAGGTATGTGCAAGGAGCCAGCTCGGACTATAAGATTGACAACAATCCAGTGTCAAAACAGGATTATGCCAAAAGGTTAGAAACTCTTGGAATCAACGTGAAAGCTAGAAATTTTCTTGTCTATCAAGGAGCTGTGGAGTCAATTGCCATGAAAAATCCACGGGAAATTACTTCACTGTTTGAAGAAATATCTCACTCTAATGAGTTTAAAGAGTCTTACATCAATGAAAAGGTTAGTAAAAATAACTTTATCTATATTATTTATTCTATTGTAAAAATATTTAATTATTATCATGTTTTATTTTAGACTACAATGGATCGCAGTGAAGAAGAGTTACATCATATGTTTGTCAAAAAGAAGGGTATTGCTGCAGAAAAGAAGGAAGCTCAAGGCGAGATCAATGAAGCTAAGAGATATCAAACTCTTAAAGAGGAGCTTCATATTTTACAAGTTAACCAGCAACTTTTCAAATTGTATCATATACAAAAAGAAATAGATGGTCTACAAAGTGACTTGAAAAAGAAAAGAGATGATTTGGATGTACAAGTTCGCAAGAAAGAAAAAGCAGAAGAAGAAATTAAGATCAAAAGGCAAAATCTTAATAAAATAACAAAAACATTGGCCAATATCGACAAACAAATTCGAGATGTAGAACTGAATTTGAACAAGAAACGACCTGCATACATAAAAGCTAAAGAAAATGCTTCTCATATCGAGAAAAAATTACAAACAGCCAAAAAATCATTGACTGCTGCCAAAAAAGCTGACGAGAATCATCAAGAAGCAATCATGGAATTAACTAAAGAGCTGGAAAAAGTTAACGAGAAAATTGCAGTCTTTGAAAGTGAGATGAAAGCTGAAGATGCGAACAAAAATCGGGAAATCGTTCTTGAAGAATCTCAGAGGCGAGAATACAATAGGTTGAAAGAAGAAGCTACTCGTTTGTCTTCTAAGTACTTGAATGACTTGGATTCATTGGAGAGAAAGCAAAAGGCTGATTCTGACAAATACGAACAAGAACAAAGAGACCAACAACAAATCCAGTCCAGAATAAGAGTTTTGCAAAATGAACTCGAAGAAAATATGAAAAGAATTGACAAGCTTAAAGATAACATTTCAATGAGTGAACAAAGTCTCAGTGAGTTAAGAAAAAAGGAGAAGGAAATTGACGAAATTGTCAGATTTGCGAAAGAACGAGTCACCACCATCAATAAGAAACTTGAACAAATAAACGGTGAATTGGGAGATGCCAAGGTTGACCGTCACGAAGATGAAAGAAGGAGAAAGAAGGCTGAAGTTGTTGATCATCTAAAGAAACTCTATCCCGGTGTTTACGATCGTATGTTAAATCTTTGTAAACCCATTCATAAGCGTTACAACATGGCTATCACCAGAGTTATGGGTAAACACATGGAGGCAATTGTTATAGATAAAGAAGAGACTGCTCGAAGATGTATTCAATACCTCAAAGATCAAATGATGGAGCCTGAAACTTTTCTACCTCTTGACTATATCGAAGTGAAACCTTTGAAAGAACGTCTCCGAAACATTCAAAGTCCAAAAGGTGTGAGACTTGTTTATGATGTTTTGAAGTACGATCCTCCGCAAATTGAACGAGCTGTTCTATTTGCCACCAATAATGCATTAGTCTGTGAAACTCCTGAGGATGCTGCTCAAGTTGCTTTTGATTTGGGTGATGGTCGTCGTTATGATGCTGTTGCACTAGATGGTACTTTCTATCAGAAGTGTGGTTTCATCTCTGGAGGTTCCGCAGAATTAGAAAGAAGAGCCCGTAGATGGGACGAAAAAGAAGTCCACAAATTGAAATATGAAAAAGAAAAATTAGCTGAAGAATTGAAAGAACAGCTAAAGAAAACTCGTAAAGAAAGTGATCTAATGGTAATTCAAAGCCAAATTAAAGGTTTGGAAACCCGTTTACGTTACTGTAGGATCGATATGCAAGCCGCTGAGAAGCGCAATGAAGAAATTAAAAAGGAGATAACGGAAAACGAGAAAAAATTACAAAATGAGAATCCTGAAATGGTTGAACTTAAAGAAGCCATGTCATCCCGGGAAGCACAAATTAATGAAATTAAAACAGCTATGAATACCGTTGAAGATGAAATTTTTGAAAGTTTCTGTAAGGAACTTGGAGTTGCCAATATTCGTCAGTATGAGGAACGTCAGACTCAAGCAAGTCAAGAGTTTGCTAACCGTAAATTGCAACTGGACAATGAAAAGAATGCAATTCTTAGTAGACTGTCCTATGAAAAAAGTAAAGATACGTATGATAACGTCAAACGTTGGGAGAAAGCTCTTCAAATGGAGGAAAAAAATCTCGAAGATGCTAGAGCAACTGAGAAGAAAGAGATGAAAGCCATCGAGGAGGAAATGGGATAGAGTGGAAGAATTGAAAACTGAAAAAATTCAAAAGAAAACTGAATGTGACAAAGTAGAGGATGCTATATCAGAGGATAAACGTGCTCTATCTAGTGTTCAAAAAGAGATCAGTACCATTCAGAAATCGCTGATGGCTCTTGAATGTCGATTAGAATCAAAAAAAGCAGATCGTCATGCAGTTTTGACAACTTGCAAACTCGAGTGCATTGAATTACCTCTAGTAAGTGGATCTCTAGGCACAATAAGTTCCAAAGATAGAAATGGAAGTCAAAACACTGCAAACGGTACGGCTAACGGCACCGGAGGCGATGATGATGATTTTGATGATGAAGGAGCTCCATCTACACAGCGTTCTTACGACAATGACTCAACCATAATTCCAGACTATTCAACGTTGAAAAATAGTCTCAAACATGTGAGTATTTTCATTAAAATTCATAATAAAAACATTGTATTGAGAAGAGTTGAAACTAATTTCAATTTCATTTCTAGATCGATGAGCCGGAGGCAATTAGAAAAAAAGAAACTGAAATGATGGGTGAAATAAATGCAAAAAAAGATACTCTGCGAAAGATCCAAGCACCGAATATGAGAGCAATTGATAAGTAAGTTTTTATTTGTTTTCATGATTTGGCTTAATATAATTGTTTCATTTATATATTTTTACTTGAACGTCTAGGTTGGATGATGTCCGAGAGCGTCTGCGAGAAACTGACAGTGAACTTAATAATTTGAGAGAAGCATCAAAAAGAGCCAAGCAAAATTTCGAAAGCGTCAAAAGACAACGTCTAAACGCATTCAATACTTGCTTTGAGGCTGTAGCTGCTCGAGTTGACAGTATTTATAAATCTTTAACCGCCAACCAAAGTGCCCAAGCCTTCCTTGTTCCTGAGAATCCGGAAGAACCTTACCTTGAAGGTATTAATTACAACTGTGTTGCTCCCGGTAAACGATTCCAGCCTATGAGTAACCTCAGTGGAGGTGAGAAAACAGTGGCCGCTCTTGCGTTGCTGTTTGCAATTCATTCCTATAAACCAGCTCCGTTTTTTGTTCTCGACGAGATTGATGCTGCTCTCGATAATACCAATATCGGAAAGGTAATTATTTTATACAGTTGTCATCTTTCTCCATTAGTATTGCAAAAATTTAATCAATCATTTCTTACTTCTCAGGTCGCTAGATTTATTCGTGAAAAAACAGAATCAGATACTCAATGTATCGTAATCTCTTTGAAAGAGGAATTTTATGGTCACGCTGACGCTGTTGTTGGTGTAACAACCGATGTAAGTTTTTATCAATTTCTCAGTAACTTTTAATTTTCAACAAGATCAACTCGCATTATAATTTTTTCATCTAACATTTTCTTTTTTCTTTTTTCTTTTTTCTAGCCTGGTGACTGTACAATCAGCCACATTTTCCTTGCAGATTTAAGCTTATATCAGGAATAGTCAATCATCATTACCATTATTCATTATGTATTACATTCATCCTTCATCAGATATCCGTTTCATTATTACATAAACATAAAAAATATAAATATAAAAAAGGTAAATGCCGAAGCACTGTTTGCGATAAATCTGATCATCAAAATTAAGAGCTGTAACTTTAATTGATCCAAGTTGAAGGGATATTCTCAAAATCGTTTTCATCACTTCTCATCCATTGAATAAAACTCATTTTAAGAATTACCAAAGACACACATTATGGTATTTCATTTATACCATAGTATTATCGAGGATACGCAATTCAACGCTTCATAATCATCAGGAAACATCAGTAATTTGTTTGAATTTCACAATTTCTTAAAACAATTCAAACGCTAACCTAAGGATAATGGCTAAAGAAATGTTTATTAAACACTTGAATTGGTCAAGACGTTAAATTGGAAAGATTGGATTATAACTGGCTAACTTGAGACAGATATTCTGATGAAAATGATTTTGATAATTCCAACCAATATCATTGTAATTAATACAATAAAATACTTAAATTACATTTTTAGATGAGACTTGGAAACGAAATCTTCACATTAACCAAATCTATCGAAAATGGTCAAGGAAGCAACAATATTTTATTTCATTTCACGAAAATTCACCTGATTATTCCTTTTTTATTCTTACTCAAACCATCATTCAAAAATCAACTAATAATGTAAAAAGATTCAAAATTATGGAAATCACTATATTCATCATTCAAAAATTTTTCACTCTACTGTTTTCTTTCCATCATTAAACCAATTACCGTAAATGTTGAAAATTGTTTTCAATTCTTTCTTCGCAGTCAAATATAATCCGACGTGTTCTTAATTTTTTTGCTGAGCAACTAATTAACAGTTTAATTAATTTCATAGACTTCAAAATTTCCAATGAAATACAACCCTTATGCTCATCAAATTTTTCATTTGGTTAGCAGTTCGTTTCAACAATCATTTTCTATTTTTATTTTTGTCACTCTGTAAATTATGATCTTTTTAATTAAAAGCTTTTATCAATCAGAAAATTATTTCATGGAAAATACCAATTTAGTTGAAGAAAGTGAATGTTTTAGGTTAGTGAAATTCAAAAGAAGCGCTCCTATTGCATTTCATTGATGAAAATGAGGGAGAAAGAGTGAAAGGAAAAAAGTGCGAAGAAAGGTAATTTTCTCATTTCACTCTTCATTTCATTAATGGTTTGTAACACTGACGACTAATTTTGTATAATTCATCTTACGATAATCAACTAATAATCAAAGTGGATCATCATTACTGGCGTAGACCTGTTCTTTTCAAGACTAGGGTCCATTCAAATTATCTAAACAAAACGGAGACCCCATCAATAATTGGTAAGTTCATTTTCATTTAAAAGATTTTCAATTTTTGACGATTTCTCATTTACTTTTTGTATTTTGTTGAAACTTCTTCGCTTTAAATTAAGTTTAAATTCTTTGGCAATCAAAAAGTCAGATTAATTCTTGTGAGCTGAATGATTTAACTATTTTGCCCTCTCTTTCTTTGCTAGACTGAATGAATATTTTTTTGTAAAATTGTTCGGTCCTTTATTTTTAATATTTATTAATTATTGACTCAGCAACAGCAATTTTGTAATACAAATAATTCTTAACTATAAATAGATATAAAACTTTCCCAGCTTTTTTTATCTCAACTATTTGATTTAAATCAGAGTGTGAAATTATAGACTAGAATTTACTGAAATCGTATTAGACTTGTTTGTGAAACTTAGTCTACCTTTCTCGATGTTTCTCTTTCTTCGGATTTTCCCATTGACTTTATTTTCTTTATTATGCATATTTTTTCTTGATCTCATCATTGTTTTGTGATTAATTTTCGATATTTTACTCTTAATCGTTCAATCAGGTATATGCCACAAATGTGGAGAAGCGGTCCTCAGCGAGGGCACTGGGTGCACCGCCATGGATCAAGTTTACCACATAAGATGCTTTAGATGTAGCATCTGTAATCGTATGCTTCAAGGTCTTCCATTTTATGCATTAGACGGAAAACCATACTGTGAAGATGATTATCTTAACACTTTGGAAAAATGTTGCGTCTGTAATCGACCCATCTTGGATAGAATCCTCCGAGCAACTGGTAAACCTTACCATGCTGAATGTTTCACTTGTACCGTTTGCGGTAAAGGTTTGGAGGGAATCCCATTCACTGTTGACAGTGGGAATCAGATACATTGTATAGAAGATTTCAACAAAAAGTTCGCTCCTCGTTGTAGCGTTTGTGATAAACCAATCATTCCAGAACCTAATCAACCAAATACAGTTCGAGTTGTGGCTCTCGACAGAAATTTTCATGTCAGTTGTTACAAGTGTGAGGTAAATTATTTTACTTGAACTCTTTAACTCTTTGTGACTGTTTTATTTTAAACACCTAACCAACACCATCATCTGATTTCTATTTTTAAACACATCTCATAACACCATCGTTAATTGCTACAACTTCCTTTCTATTTAAAATCTTTATTTTGGTTTTGGCCAAGTTATTAATCTAATCTAACCTTTACTTCCTTTTTACTTATTCTTGTTTATGTTTTCTACTTCATTTTTCCTTTACCTTTTTTATTTTTCTCTTCTTTCTCTCTTCCTTTAATCTTCATCTTTTTCATCTTTTTTTCTTCTTTTTTACAGGATTGTGGTCTCCTCCTATCGTCTCAAGCTGAAGGAAGAGGCTGTTACCCTTTGGATGAGCATATCCTTTGTCGTAACTGCAACGCCCGAAGAGTGAGACAGTTAACAGCAAGTGTCTGCTAAGATTACTTGCTTAATCAACTGTCAAGAGAATCATTTTCTTTAACAAACCATGTAAAACTTTTTGCTTATGGGTAAAAATGATCCTTTAAATCAACCTAACATCACCAATAAATAGCAACGTATATGTAACCACGCACACAACCAACACTTATAGTAAGATACACTCACACACATACATACACTTTATCTCTCACTCATTCATTCACTGATCACAATAATATATTGCTAAAGCCCACCTTTTTTACTTTTGTGGTCAAAGACTGAGATCTGCTTGCTTCTTTTGAAAGACCTGATTGTAAAATCAGATTTTGATGCTTTTATTCTCAATTTTGGTAATAAAAAAAGCTATTTGTGACCATCGATTTATTGATAATTGTTGCTAAATTGCATCTTTTAAAACTTAATTCTTTCATTTTATAAATAAAACCTTTTTTGTAAACTCTATTTCCAAATTTTTTAATTAACCGTGAATCCTTTATAATTTTTAAATGCAAAAAATGAAAGTTTTTAACTCGATTGAATATTAAATCGTATTCCAAAATAGGTGTTGTATAAATCAATATTTGAATATGGCTGTTGGAATTAAAAATTAAAATCTGAACCCAATCAAACCGACGTTTGAGCAGTTAATCAGACAAAAAGGTAATAAAAGCTTTCAAGCTTGTAACAAAATGGCTTGGAATGAGATGATTTAGTCCATCAAGAGCAAATTTTTCAACATCATCTAAGCTATTGATACCAGTGCCAACCAATAGTGTATATTTAACATCACTGTTGTGACCAAAAGCAATATCTGTATCACAAGTATCACCAATGACCATTGTCCGAGAAGGATTCACAGTTGGATGAATAATCTTGATACAGTCAAAGAAGGTTTTACTTGGTTTTCCAATGCAAACCATCTTTCTCTTGGTAGCCTTTTCAAAAAATTCAACATAACTTCCAGTTATGGGGATGACGAGTCCATTAGGTCCGGGAAATGAGAAATCGGTGTTTGTGCAGATCACTAAATCTGGTGATACTTTTGAAATATAAGTACAGGCTTTAATCAACTTGATGGTTGAAACTTTGTGCGGCATACCGATGACCACAGCAGAAACATCAGAGTCATAAGTGATGGAACCATAATCTAAGGCCATATCTTTGAAAAGTCTGTCTTCTTCAAAGTCCTCATCGACATCGCAAGATGAAGGGATTACACTGAACCCAGCCGATTCAATATCAGCTCTTAAAACTGGTGAACCAAGACAAAAGACTTTACCAGTAAAAGATAACTTTCCAAGAGCGATTGTAGTAGCCAAACTGGGTACAATCACTTCGTCTATCGTTGCTTCAAATCCGAATTTGTTTAATTCGGCCAATAATGATTCTCGAGATTTGGTGCTATTGTTGGTCGCAAAAACAATCCGTTTCCCCATTGATCTCATTTTCTTGAAAAAATCTGAAGCTCCTTCAATGGGTTGTTTGTTGGACCAGATGACTCCATCACAATCACTTATTATCGTATCAATACCATGAATAATTGAATCAACATCATGTTTACTGTTGATTATTTTAGTTGTAATCATATTTTCACGATTTATACAGATTTTAATAAACAAATTGATAATAAATGTAATAATAATATTTGTTAATTTACCAAACAAAGATTGAAAAACAATCACGATTACAATTTCAACTTGTTTACTGAAAATATTTTGTTCAAATGAGATCTTTCTTGTTTTGTTGTCCTTTTTAACAGAGAAATAGATTGTTAATTCAATTGATCTTCATTTTAACTTAGTTTTTAGTAATTTGAGAAGTCAATATTGATCTCTTTACTCCATTTCTTGGAAGCAATTACATATTGAGCTGAGTCCAAATTATTTATGAGTTAAATATCTTTGACCATAATTTACACACAGCTTCAACTTTGACCGGGTGAAAGAGCAGTAGATTTTACGATAAAAAGGGAATGAAAGTCCAAAAAAGATTGAATAGGATCTATTTGATTGCTCAAACGATCTGAATAAAATCAATTGTAGAACTTTAATCAATATCTACATTTATATAAACAATATAAAGCCGGAGTATGAAATTTTTGAGTTAAAATTGTGGTTGAACTGAAAGGATTCTAATGAAAATTTTTACATACCTTGAAATCCGTGATTGAACTGAGTGTCTGATAATATAATAGTTAAAGCTTAAACAGAATCCAGGTTACTGAGAAACAGGGTGGGGGAAAATATGTAGGATTCGTATTTTGTTGCATTGGGAAAACTATTTGGTTAGTCAGGTTTATAGTTTATTGTTGGACTAGCAGGATATGTAAAAGTGTCTTTCGAGTAAAGTTGTTTATAAATGTAAATGTTTAGACTAGAAACATTGGTTTTCCTTTGCATATCAATCATGGGTTGTTACTAGAAAGACACAATCAACACAATTGACACAAATGGACTTAAACGGGTGAAAATTACTTTGTTTCAAATTTAAACTCTGTTAGTTTGTAGGGACATAAAAACTGAGTCCATTAGTGCTATTAAAATTTTGGCTGGTCGATAGTTTCCGAGAAAATTGAGTCCAAAGTTAAAACTTTAATCGCCTTTTTTACAGTTATGGAAGCAGATTTTTTCGTGAAACTCATGTAAATTATGTAAATTATGCCGATTAACCAGAAAATGGACTTATTTTGAGAAACAAAGCTTTCAGATTCTGTACAATAGATCAAGTTCAAATTCGATTTTCATTTAAACATTTCCCATTCTGCGACCGTAACAATTAGATTGCTGGAACTTATTATTCGGTGATAGAAATTGATGCTACACATCGTAAATGTAATGTTGTTCAACAATGTAACATTTTCGCCCGTTCAAACCCATTTGTGTCAATTTATGCACCAATGTGACAATCGATATGCCTTTTTAGTAACAACCGATGATTTTGACGCAAAGACTTCTCTTATTTTACCCAATTCACTTGAAATTGTGTTCTTGTTTGACCATCTTTTTCAGTGTTGACCACATTCTCTTGATTTTTTTAATAAATTGTTGCGATCCGCAATTATCTCATTCCTTGACTTCAAATTTAAATTACGATCGATGTCTTTCATCTGTAATTTCATTATGAACTATTTTGAGGCGCAATGTCTTCAATGGCTTTCTTCAGTTTATTTCAAATCAAATTAAGATTTTCATTTTCTGAGAATGATTCTTTGTTCTTTGATTGAAACCATTTCAATTGTTTCCACAATTCTTAGATCAATGACTGATTCTATCTGTTTTCAAGAGTTTTACGCCAATCATCCAACCCTTTCCTAGTGAGCTCAAGTTGTCCTTACAATTTAAGGATTGTTTCTTTACATCATTTCAGACTACTTTTATCATTCTGTTTTCATTTCTACTTTAATTCTGATTTTTTCTTTTTCTGAGCAACAATTCATTTCCTTTTATTTCTTTTATTTAACACATCAAGTGTACAATTCAAAACGCTATGCGTTTTAAACTTGTCCATTGTTCAGCTGATTTTTTGCAATTTCTTTCTACTTCATTTCGATTGTTTCTGTGGTAAGTTTACTATTATTTGGATCTGTATCGTGAGCACTTATTATCACTAATTAGCACATCATCATTACTTCAAATCACTCATTCTTTTGATCACAAAGTATCATTATTGAATCCCCGTAATTGATGAGATCAACGGTAAAAACGAGTTCCATTACTTAAACAAACCAGCCTTTACATGTTCCAGGTAAGTAGGTGTATTAAATAAAAATACTGACCAAATCGGGTAAAAATGGTTTCTCTTTTTGGTTTGCATTCAAAACTTTCTCAGAGCATCTAAAGTTTGGATTGATGTATTTGATGGATTGATTAGTTAGTCATATTTAAGTTGTATCATTTATTAATTGCAATCGCCAACTTGACCGCAGTTAGATTATCTGAAGATCAAGTTAATAAAGCATTGACTTTTTAATTTTCGCCATCTCACCAGTTTAAACTTAAACTTTGAATAATATCGAATAAAAATAGACACTTTAATCATCTCAATTGATAGTGAATTGTGTCATCTCAATAATGTTCCTCTTTATTGTTATTGTATCAAAAGTATCATGTTGTTTTCCTGGTCAATTCATGGATCGCTATAAAATCAAATAATCCTTGGCAATCCTGATTTCCAGACAATAACCGTTAAAGTCATTCATAATTCAAGATGACGAATGCGATTATGGTCGATGGAGACTGGTATTTTAAACTCTCATTAACTTAGATTAGGTTAAATAGTGTTCCTAATTCCTAGTTGCTAATTGCACAGACAATTAGTTTTACAAACAAGCACCAAACCGTACAATTTAAAAGTTACATTTTAATCATCAGACCAAAACACGATGTTTGTTTACCTAACAACAGATGGCTCTAATGGTGATACATGTTACAGGCCTCAAGTTTTTACTCGTAATAACTTCGGAATAATTTAAGTTACCATTTAAATTGATTTGAATTTTGTAATGTTTTCATCTTTTTCGTTGTCTAGATCATCTAAAAATACAGTCTTTTGTGCTCTACTTTATATTGGTTGAAAGACACTGGGAAGGAAGTCAACTTCAACTTTAATTACCATTGAACTAAATTGTTGAATACTCTTGAATATCTATTCATGTTTAATTTTTCAGTTTATGATTAACAATTAATTTTATTAAAACTGTGTTGTAACAAATAATTTTATAAAGATAATGATAAAGCAATCTGAAAATGCTACACTTGATTGCTCAAATGTGTTAATTTTTATAATTATTCATTGTATGCCATTTTACTCGATCCAAGTTATCTTTTTAATTTTTTGGATCATTCAACTACTTTATTTAATGAAATTTTCTTAATTTCTTCGGAAAAATTAAACTCCAATACAAATATTGATCACCATATACTCAAACAAAACACTGGAGATGATTAATCAAAGATGCAACACTATCGACACTTGAAAGAGTCTTGCTAACAAAATCATGTAAACACATGTTTAGACAGTGAGTTTTTGGTAAATTATCAAAATGAATTGATTTCAAATTGAAACAATATGGATAATTGTGAGGTTAATCACTGATTGAAATCAAAGAGGCTGGAATCAGATTGAAAATAAAGACTTTGGTTCTGTATAGTTACTACATTCACCTTTGATCGTGATAAGGTACGGATAAAATGCTGATAAATTTATGCTGGAAAAAATTGGCTTGATTATAATTTTACTCATCACTAAACCATTTTCTTGGTGTTGTTAATTTGTTCCACTCCTACAAATTTTTGATTGTTAAACCTGTTTATTTGGGTAGAAATGAAATATTTTTAAAAAGTATCAAGTTAAACATTCACTGAATTAGTAAACCTATCTTGACTGCTTTAGTAAATCTTTATTTAGCTTTGGGTTTGACAATTTTTTCATTATTAACGGCATTTCAGGTCATTATTATTGTCATTATCGTTCAAGGCCGTTCAAAGTACAATTAAATGAAAGTAAAAGGTAGAAACAAAATCAACTAATTGTTAATATATTCTGAGTGAAAATTGGAGTCACAAATTGAATTACAGGTTAAAACATTGGTTGTAAACAGAAGAGGTAAACCGACTGGAAAACAAATTCTGATTAATTTTACTGTTTTATAAATATTGGTTTCTGGGTAAAGTTTTAAGGTAAATTGATTGAAGACAATTATAGATTGTGTAAATGGTTCATTGTGATAATCCAGTTGTAGTTGGTTCAATTTATTATCAGCAGAGACCTGAAGCAACTCTGCTCAATGTACAATTGATATTTTCAACCCGACTTGAACCATAATTTGACTGTGATAAAGTAACCAAGAAATTTATTGTCGCAACTAAATGATAAACAATTGAAGAACAATATTAATATTATTGATTTCCTTGAATTCAATTAAATGAAATGTTGCAATGAATTGCACATCAAAATCATCAGGATTAAACCAGAAATCAAGAATGAACTATCATTTACTGCAATATCATTCAGCTTCCAGTTTCTGAAGGATTTTGTCTAAAACAAATTAAATTGACAAGGTTAAATGATTAATATTAATTCTTTGCCCTCATCATCATCATCATCTTCTTCGTCTTCTTCCTCTTCCATCGACTATTTCATCAAAAACCTATTCAATAACCAGAGGCTATTTCTTGGTACAACAGCAGTTGATAGTAAAATATCACATTTTTTTGAGGCCATACTTTGTTTTCATTTTACTTTTGTTCAATGTTAATAGCCAAGGTTAGGATATCCTTTTAATTATGATTGAAACATATCATTTAGCATTTCACATTTCCCTATTATTAACTTATTGTTCAATGATGATGGTGATGGAAACTCTAGTTGATTGTAGTTGGTTAACAGTAGAAACAATCTTGCAAGTATTTCTGGTAAACATCAACAGCTTCAACACCTATTTCCTTCAACAATTACAAGTTCATCAGCCTTACCATTTGAATTTACCAGAAAATCGGACCATCAAAGAGGTAAAAATTTCAACAATTTTCATCGTTAAATTGTGAAAGTTGACAATTTATTCGGAAATATTGAATAAATTGAGTTGATTTACTGTGTATTCATAGAGTAATGGCTTTTACTCAATCCTTGATTAGCCTTTCTGTTAGTTTTCTCAAATTGTAAGGTTAAACAACCCAGCACTTGACCAGTCTTTGGTTACCTCAAGATAACAATCAACTTGTAAACACTTGAAATTGAAAGGAATATTTATTTCAAATTACGTATTTTTTTTATTCTGAATAATCAAGATTAAAGATATTAAATCATAAATTAAAGATATAATCAGCGGTTCGTCAAAGATATTACTTTAAGAGAATCGATAAATGCTCATCATAACTGATTTATACATTGTACATTTAACACTGTGTATTTAATACATATGTATTTATTCATTCATATATTATCTGAGCTGGAATCAAATTTAATGAGTTAACCATCACCAACTATCGACAGCCTGGTTTAATTACTATCACCTGGTAAAATCGTCTGAGATTGAATTTGTCAGATTATCTGGGGATTTTTGGATCATATAATTGTCTGATCATCGTTTACTGGTTAATCTTATCACTGGAAATGTAAATTCAGTTTACCTTTGGAAATTTTCTTGCAAATTTTGTGCAATTTGGGTTTTCAATTCAAGGTTTTGGTGATTAATTTTTTTGTCAACCTCAATTAAAGTTTCAATGTTCACTTAAAAATAGATAGATGATTGTAAAAGTTGATAACATTAAACGATCAATTGAAGTTGAACACATAAAGTCATTATTACCGACTAGTAACTCTGTCATGATTCAGATCAGCTGAGGTTTGTATTGGATGTTTTTTTTCAAGGTAATTGGGACAAATTGCTATTAACCTTTCAAGGCTTTTTTGATAGAGAAGATTAATTGTAGAGAAATAAATTAACTAAATTAACAAAAACAAAAAAGCAATTTGCTCTACATTGTATGAAAATTTAAGTTAATGATCATTGATCTACACTTTTTATCAATAACAAGTAATCAAATGGGGTAGATGGAAAGATTGAATGACAATTTTGAATGGAAAGCAAAACAATCAATAATGAACTTTACATTTTAACCTGATTGGGTTTCAGCGTTTGAGCATATTATTAGCGACAATTTTGTAATTAGCTGGTGACTGGGAATCAGAAGAGTTGTAACTTGGCAAATGATTAACAAATGAACAGTTAATATGTTAAACATGAACAAAATTAGACTTGGAACTTGACTTTCAAATTTCCATTTTCTTGTAATTTTGCAAATTTACCGTTTATTTAAAAGTTTTGGTTAAAAATAAGTTTAAATTGTTGTCATAGAGACTCATTATATTATAAAAATTTGACAAATTAAACTTAAACAGTAAATCAAAATTGAAATTATTGAAATCAGTGAAAATAAAAAACTTTATTTTTGGCGTTAATCGTACAATTGAGGTAATGTCCAGGCTTAAGCTTAGGTTGAGGCTGATTTTGATGTTTTTTAATATTGTGAACTACTTTAGAGTAAATTGATATAAACTGAAGATATTTCAAGATGAAGTGTGATGAAAATGAGAATTGAAAGTTTATTATCAATGTTTTAATGAACAAAAATTGAAAGAGAAAGATGAGGAAGAAGCTAGTGATGCTGAAGATCAACTCTCCTGAATATCAAAGTGTATGTATGTGAGAATGGTGACCTGAATTGCAGAAGGATACTCTTCCGTGATATTGAAACTCGATTAATATAAACATTACCATCAAAATGTTGTTTTCATATAATTTTTTTCTTCCCCTTTTTACTGAATTTTCTTCATCTCCTTCTTCTCTTTAATCATCAACATCATCATATCATCATCCCTATCAACATCAGTATTTGCTTCCTTCTCTTCTTTTTATTTCAACAATTTTTGGCCGCTTTACTCCAGGTATTGGCTTCAACTGTTCTCTTCTTGATTCCATGAAACCAAAACAACCAGTAAATATCCAAAATACAATAACAGCGTTCGATATTTATCGCTACAGCAGGTTGATAACATAACCAACTGATTAATATGGTTTATGTGCATATTAAATTTCTTGCAGGTCCACTTCAAATGTCCATTTCACCATTTATTGTCTAATCAATTGTGTTGATCGAGTTTCAACAATTATCCATTAATATGATGATTGAAAACTATTTGAAAAGTTCCATTCTTTGAATCAGATTGATTTTGAAGTGGTTTCTTTCAGTTTTCTTTCAATCTTCATCTTTCTCATCTTAGATTGAATCCAATAACCTCCGTCCAATTTGTCCATGGTAAGGTGATCTGAGTGAATGATTTGTATTTGATTAGCCATTGATGGATTTGTTTGTTTATCAAATTAATTGTCGGTAAAACATTGAAACCTTTAAAAAAGAAGAGAAAGCGAGAGAGAAAAAAAAGAGTGAGAAAAACGTCAAAATTTTTACTTCAAGTAAATGGGTAAAATAGTGAAAGTAAATAGTGAAAATAAAGGGGAAAAGGTATCGAGTTATCCCGGCCTGGTATAAGCCGTTATATTGGTAATAAGACGTTAAAGAGAGGGATAAAAGGAGGAGAACCAGAACCAGATTTGGGCGAGAATCAACCTTCTAAGGTTGTACTCTTTTTTACGTTAAGATGATGATTAGAGAAGTTGTTGTTGACAGGAGAGAAAAAATTTAAAGAAATAAAATATAAATAATTTTTTGTGCGCTTTGTTGGTACAAAAACAAGGCTATATAAAATAAAAGTTCGAGGAAAGTCAATCACCAGTTACATTGTAGATATAAACAGATGAACAACCATTTTGAGTAAAAGTAATAGCAAGAAGTAAACAATATTTCAATAACTGGCCTCGAATAGTGAAACATCAATTAGAGGGATTCGTCAAAATGTAATTGATGATCAAAATCACGTAGATATTGAAATAGTCAAAATTTCCCGTTTTGATTTGTTTTGTTGTGATCATAAATCATTGAGTCAACCCAACACTTGGTCAATATATATAAATCCCTAAAAGTGTCCCACAAAATTTACTACAAAGTAAACCAACGAGAACAATATATAAATTGTTTCAGTGATTATATGAAAATTGTTTCAAAAGTGATTACAATGTTATTACTGGCCTTGCCCTTATACTGTTCCAATTGTAACCCCAATCAAGTGATGACAACAATTATTCAAAGTTGATATTGTGCCACCATTTTCACATACACTTTCACCTGACATCAACAACATTATTATCATTTATTATAAAGATTATCTTTTAATAATCAGTATAATAGTAATCATATATAATAGCAATCAACTACTACTAGTCCTTACTTTCATTACTTTCTTCCTCCTCATCATCAGTGCCGTCATTATCATCAATAACAAGCCCAACGCCGAGAAACAAATAAACAACATCAAACCTTATTCACTTTACATTTTTTCCGCATCACAGTTAAAATTGACCGGCCGAACTTGATGTACTCAACACTCGTTTTCATCGAGAAATACATTCCTCATCCTCACGCCTCTCTCCTATTCTCACTCTTCTCATCCATCTTCTTCCGCCGCTCTCAATCTTCATCATTTTCCTCTCTTCCTCGCTAAACCTCATCATCAACATCACTAAACGAGGGAAACAAGAAAGTGAAAAATATTCTTCTTTTTTTGCCGTCAAATCATACATCAGACTAAATTAAACTACGTTACTACATGTATTACTAACTTTCAATTCATTTGTGCAAGTTTCCGGAAAAGTACTCACTACCAACTTATTTACTAACTGAATTAGCTTAAGCATAAATCTGTAAACTTCCTCTTTCTTTCTCTCTCTTTCTTTACATCTTTTTTCTCTTCTTCATCATCTCCTTCCCGTTAAATTTTACGGTAAAAAAACAGCTATCTTACTTTTTTACCTTTTTGATCATAATCAAACTTTGGGTTGACTTGACTTGTATCCATCAGTCAGGTTTCCCATCCAGTTAGTTATTATTACTTTCTCCTTCTTTTTTATTTTCATTACACTTTCACTTGAAACTCATCTGATACCCTTGATATTTGATTAACATGAATTTGGACCCGGAACTGGGATCCGATCAACATGCGGTTAGCATTAAACTAACCAATGTCAATGATGCCACCGATGATTGCGTTGTTCCCGCGACAGCAATAGCAGTAGCAGCTCCAATTGCTGTTGTATCCACCGTTTCAAATAAAAATGACCATGTAACCAATTTAATGTTATCATCTTCATCTTCTTCACATTCTTCATCTGTAATTGTGGTTCCACCGCAAGCAAATATTTCCGATTCATCTTCAATAATGTCCACTGATTCATCTTCATCTTCATCGCTTCCACCAACACCAACCACAATACCTCTTCATCCTAGTTTGACTCGCGGCTTATCGCCCAGACTTTCCTTGGAATCAGCTGGATCATCTAAAAGTGTTTCAACCACATCTTCATCTTCTTGTCCAAGTTCAAATCGAACATCATATCTCGCTGAAGCAGTTGCTTGTTCCGATGGACGCATAACTTCTGGAAGTTGCAGTCTAATTTGGAAAAATTTAGCTTATACAATTGAGACGAGTAAATGGTCATCTTCATCTTTTTATGGAGTTAAACGGTCAACATCCAAAAAGGTTATCTTCACTGGGCTCTCTGGTGAAGTTAGAGCAGGACAGTTAACAGCCGTAATTGGACAATCAGGTGTTGGTAAATCGACTCTCCTTGAATCTATTGCTGGTCGAAGGAAACAAGGTTTAACAGGTGAAGCATATCTAAAATTTGTTGGATCTACCACTCATCAAGTCAATTCAGCTCAAGTTTCATTCATACCACAAAAGGATGCTCATCTTCCCTGTCTTACAGTGAAAGAAACTCTTATGTATGCTTCAAGACTGAAAAACTCTGAATCAGCTCAAAGAGTTGTCTCAAAGTGTAAAAAGCTAAATCAATTTGACTTTCTAACTGAAATGGATTACCATAATTACCTTATTACCCAAGTTCAGAAAGATCTTTGCCTGGGTCGTTGTTGGGATGTTAAGGTTGCCAAATGTTCTGGAGGAGAAATTAAACGTCTCTCAATGGCTGTTGAACTTATCTCCAATCCTAAAGTGATTATCCTTGACGAACCTACAACAGGCCTTGATGCAACATCAGCTTTCCACTGTATCGAGGTGCTAAATTGTCTCACAGAAATGGAATCCCCTCCGGGAATAATTGCCTCAATTCATCAACCCAGCTCAGAACTTCTTAATCTTTTTCACAATGTATACGTTATTGGAGCTGGTGGTCATTGTATTTACAATGGACCAACTGACCAATTGGTTACCCATCTGGCACAAAATGGTCTATGTTGTCCGCTTTATCATAATCCAGCTGAATTTATTGTTCATGTAGCCTCAGGTCGGTATGGTGAAAAGATACTTACCAATTTGGCTTCCATACAAGCTGAGTCTTTCGAAAATCTTCATGCTGCCATTAAATCGGAAGAGATTGACGTTGATGTAGATAAAATTGATGTCAAACGTCTCTATGAGAAAACTAACCGCAAGCAACATCCGACTTGCAGTCATATTGGTTTGCTTCTTACACGAACCTGGAAGTCAACTATTAGACAACCCATGTTGACCTGGCTTCGATTATCTCAATATCTTTTGGTTGGCCTCATTCTTTCTTTCCTTCATAACTACAAAATCGGTGAGCTTGACGGTTGTTACACTGATGTAATCAAAAATGCAACTCTCTTATCAGGTGAACAAAATTACGGTCAACTGTTGGCCAGAATTAATGACAATACGGCAACAATTTATTTTGCCCTTATGTTCCTTGTTGGCGCAGCCATAGTCCCAACAGTTCTAACGTTCCCCACGGAAATATCTGTGGTCTTTAATGAGCGTCATAACGGCTGGTATTCATCATTTTCCTATTATATTGCTAAAATAATATCCGAGATTCCTTTATCAGCTGCCCTTCCTTTGCTTTTTGCATCTCTTTTCTATTATTTTACTGGACAAATACCCGAGATGAGCCGTTTTGCTCTTTTTTATATGATCATATTTCTTTTATCCATTATTGGTCAAATAATTGGGCTCATAATGGGTACTATATTCATGGACGATCCACCTTCTGCTGTTTTCATGTCCATTTCAACACTTTGTCCAATTTTTATTGTCGGTGGATTCCTTCTTCGCGAATCTATAATAGTCTGGTTCCTTAAACCTCTCTGGTACCTTTCTTATGTTCGTTACGCCTTTGCATCCATCATTGTAGCTCTTTATGGATTCGGACGTTGTGGTACAGAATATAAAGCACCATTAAGAAGATCAGTATTACCCCAGTTGACCCAATTAGTCCAAGATGAAGATATTGGTTGTGTTTACGATCAATACCAACTAAACTCAGACTGTTTCGATGAAATCCTCAGAGAATGTAATACAACCATGGATTACATTTACAAAAAGACTATTGGCCGAGAAGAGCACCGTCTAACTGCATCAGTAGACCAATACGATGGTTCCTTTGTCATGTCTTATTATGAGGTAACCAACACTCAGTTTACGGTTAACATAATTGTCTTGGTTCTATATTCACTGGTTTTAATATTGATAAACTATTGGATCTTAATATACAAGATCAAAAGGAAGATTAAGAAATGATAAATTTAAAGTCAATAATCATCACAAATCAAAATTGAAACATTAACGATTAGAGTGAAATTAAACGGGAAACAATAAGCCGCTCAACATTAAACAAAGACTCAACCACTGTTTGGTTCTTACCAGCAAGCTAAGTGTGTTAATTAGATTAGCCACAACCATTGGCTGCATCATTTACATTTTATAGACATTTTTTACCTATTGTAATTAAAAAATTGTGTTTATTGGTGTTTTCATCAAAATTTTAATTTCATCGTTCATTCCATCATAATTCACCTTTCATCGAAACATGTTCAACCATTCATCTATTCATCCATCTTAATAATTTAAATGGACTACCAAGCAAGGAGATTACCGAAATGTGTGGTGTTTTTTGCTTTCATCTATTCAATTCAATTTCAATATCACAAAAGACTCTTTTTTAATCAGGTCACCATCAGCTTGGAATCACCACTCAAAAGTATTCATCAAGTAGGATTACTTGATCTTCATCACAGTCATCACCATCATCATCATAACCATTAACTTCTTTCCCTTCTTCCTCATCTTTTCCTCTTTTAATCATTCCTTCTTTAAATCAATCTAATTTACCATTTGATTGCAAACTTTCACTTCACATTCTTGATCACTCACCATCATCTTGAAATAATCTTTTCTAAATCAAATCTTTATAATTAAAGAAATGGTTCAAATCATTACATGAAGAGAGAACAAAAAGGAACAGATTTTAAAAATTTGTTCTGAATACCATTAAAAGTTGATCTTAAATACAAATACAAATCTTTAATCTTACAAAAAAATTAATGTTCATTATTTATACAAAGTACAAAACTGTTTGTACTCTGCTTTGTGATCAAATGGACAATTGAAAAGCCAAATTTATACACAATGACCAGCGATTATAAACAGTTAGACAATTTAAATGCCAGAAACACCGTTATTTGTGATGAAAGATTATTTTTTGAATTGTTGTTATCATTCAATATTTTACTTGACCAACAATCATTTATAATAATATAATAAAGACAAACCTTGAAGTAACGACGATTCAACATTTCCTTAAATCAATTAACGTGCAAAAGCCTGAACAAAAAAATGAATTACAATCATTATTACTGGTTATTTAAAGTACCAATCTTAAGAAAATTATCACACATATTATGTACTCTTGATTATGATTAAATCGCCATTCGTGGATCAACTAACCGGTAAAGTGTCTATTTTTAAAAATATTAAGGCACAGGTAAAAGCTAAATTGTGAAAAGCCTTGGACAAAATTTTCTTGCCTTTAATTGTATTATAAGTAGACAAATTACAAATAGTCAAACCAAATTTCACAGCAATCAATGGAAAGCAATTTACATTTCCAGAACTTTAAAGCTTCAAGTTTAAATCAGTTTGAAAACATCTGGATGACACAAAAATGGATGCTTTTGCTTACATTTTATACAATTCCTGTAATGGCTGGACAGATCCTCTTTCATTCGATTGGATCAAAATTGAAACGATCAATTGATTTTTGCGATTGAATAAATTAAAATTTTTGAATTTAAGCAACACAAAAGTGTTGTAAAGTCCAAATGTAGCGTATTTCAATTGGATCAGCTAAGAAATCACGAGAATGGTGATAAAATCATTTTAACGATGATTATAAATTCAACTCTTACAATAAATTGTTTTGATTTTTAAGATTATTATATCAATACTTTATGGTGACAGAATCAGCTAAAACAATTAGTGTAATTAACTTAGATTTAAATAGAAAGTAACAGAAAAAACGTCGTTTCATTGGGAATGATTGCAAATCGTTAATATGAACAGATTGTAATTCTGATTTTTGGTTACTAATGAAGATGATGTGCAAGAGATGATAACTTAACCGGTTTGATGGAAAGGTTTGAAAAGATTCAAATACAGCTTAGTTAATTGATCTGTACTGTAAATGGTCAATAGGTGTTGAAGCTGTTGATGTTTACCAGAAATACTTGCAAGATTGTTTCTACTGTTAACCAACTACAATCAACTAGAGTTTCCATCACCATCATCATTGAACAATAAGTTAATAATAGGAAAATGTGAAATGCTAAATGATATGTTTCAATCATAATTAAAAGGATATCCTAACCTTGGCTATTAACATTGAACAAAAGTAAAATGAAAACAAAGTATGGCCTCAAAAAAATGTGATATTTTACTATCAACTGCTGTTGTACGAAGAAATAGCCTCTGGTTATTGAATAGATTTTGGATGAAATAGTCGATGGAAGAGGAAGAAGACGAAGATGATGATGATGATGATGATGATGAGGGCAAAGAATTAATATTAATCATTTAACCTTGTCAATTTAATTTGTTTTAGACAAAATCCTTCAGAAACTTGATAAATTAATCGCTGAATGATAATTTAGATCCATTTTCTCCTCTTGTTAGTCTCAGGCTTCGATCCTGGTAAAATTTTATTCATTTTCGTGCTCCAAGGGCTCGTCTTGATGGAAACGTCGATACAAATTTATGCGGTTAATTTTGAAAAACACGATTATTACTAGTTACACTTATTCTTGGTATAAAATTTAGTTTAATTTCTTATCGTTTGTTTTTGCAGTTAAATAATTGCTTTCACAGTTGTCTTATTATTTTAAATGAAAAAATACTATAAGTGATCATTCGAAAAATAAATGCATATTTTGCTAACAGATTTTATCACAGTCCGTAATAAACACATGGTTATGATTTCCTTTGATTTCCTCAGATCATATCAATATCATTCATAGTCATTGTTGCGAAGTTATTGTTGTTGTATCAAAGCTCATCGTCTACCGGCTCTAAAACTTGATCAGGTGCAGGAACACGCTCAACACCAGAATAAGAAGGTGAATCAATTTCGATTTCTGAAGTGTCAGTAACAGAAGATTGACTTGGCTGAATTGGCTGATTTGAATGAGTTGGTATTGTAAGTCCAGTGATTCGTGCCATATAAGTCTCAAAATCCACATCGTCTATCGCATTTCTACGGACTCTTGGTTTAGCTGGCAGCAGATAGGAAACTCGGGAACATAATGAACAATTACGACCAGGACAATTCTTGAAGTGAGAAATCATTCGTTTAGCAGGCTCACAAAAGCCAAAAGTGCAGGTTCCAGCTGTTTAAAAACAATACAGAAATATCAATATCAAAAGAAAGGTTAGGCCATTAATAAATGGTTAAATTTTAAACTTGAAGCATTTAATGCTTTAATGAGAGTGTGAAATGAACTTACGTTGTTTCTTACAACCGAGGAGATGTTGGAAAATACATCTCATTATGTGACAGTAAGGTGTATTATTATAACATTTCGGCCAATCTGTTGCGTATTCATTAAATCTCAAGGCTTCCTGTTGAAGTTTAATGCAACGGGAGGCATGAATTATTAAAGTTAACTGTTGCTCGAGCATATTTAGTTTCATGTCTTCTGTTAGCACTTGGTCTTGGGCAGCCGTACTATTCAAAAATGCAAATCTAGGTATCCATTGTTCAACGTTTGTTGAAGCTTCTTCGGTGTAAATTGAGGGTTGAAGTGGTTCCAAATTCTTTAAATCTTGAGATGATCTTAAAAATAAATGTTGATAAGGATTTTTAATCTGTAATAATCTACGACCAGAAGATACATCAGCCAAAATTCCAGTTATGAATTTACATGAGGCTTGTAATACTACATGCCAGGCATTAAGAGATAACGCATTTCGAACTTTTTCGTTGATCGCTTTAGCTTCATTTTCATCTGAGGACGATTCTTGAGGTTCACTTGAGGTAGGCGAGTTTGAAGTCATCACAGTGATATATTTGTCCGAACGTTGAGTCAAGGTGGATTAAGACTAGTATTCACAAGATCAAGAGAGAAAGTAGAATAAACTTGTCTGGTTCTATTGCTTTTATCCTCATTGGATCAAAATTAACAATAAGTTTAAATTAAATTGGTCCATCAAAATTGCGACGGCTTATCTATTTTGAAATAAAGTAAACTTGGTATTATTGTTGTTATCAAAGTCTTCGCACATTTATTTATTAATGCATCACCTTACCTTTTCATCAAATGCTGTTGTAGGTATTGTTAGATATCAGTTATGATACCGATACCTATCGATATTTCATCTTTAATAGATTACCGATTATTATTATGTGATTTAAGTAACTGGTTTAACAGTCTAGTGAGGGAAACTTACGAATTGATCAATCGATATAGAGATTCCTTGGTCGCTATCGGTACATTGGGCCTTCTCTAAGACCAATGCAACGAAAATAGCTGCCAGCTTTTCAGTTTCGGCATTTTAATGTCTTTTTTTCTAGAAAAATTTGCATATTTCTCTTAATTTGAAACAGAAGCATTTACTTTTTAATGCACCACTAGAGAGATCATTAAATGCAGCCATTGTCAAAGCAATACCCTGTAAAGACTTTGTCGACACCCAAAACTGAACTACTCGAAGGTGACAACTATAAATGTTTTATTTAAATGCATTTTCCCTCAATTATCGATTCATCAACTCGAGAGGTTCCCTTGTAAGTATTAAAGCATCTTCTGGTTCTATGGTTTGAACTTCTTCATCGCTTTGTGTTTTATTTTTACGGCTTTTTCGCTAAAAGGGTGGATAATGGATCATCAAATCATTTCGATCATGAGAAATAGGATCAAACTTATGGTACTTATGACTTGCTTTTTTAGTTTACGGTTATAAAATTTTTATTAGCTTTTCATTCATAAATATGAATCAAACGATTTTGATACTAATAATTTTCTTTTCAATAACTGAAAAATATCGATGCATCCAAAAGTTGTATTTCGGATTATTGGCTGTTTTTAATAAATTGCACTCAACGCTTGTCGAACATAAAAATATTTTATTTCGCATAGTCAAAAAAATCAGACATTAGTTAAAATGCCATAGTTGAAATTTGGTTAAAGAATGATGAGATGAAGGTGAATTTTGTTGACAACAAAGCATACAAAATGAACAAAAGTAGATGATGAATTCAAAACAGACCAACAGCTAAAATTGATAAATTCCTAAAAGCCATTAGTAATCATCGAGGAAGTCCAAGCAATTTCCTAACGAGAATCCCTCTTTCATTTTCAATTTTTCTTTCTCCATCTTATTAACGAGCTCGTTTCGTTGAAGTTCAAAAATTTCATCAACCGATACTCTTTCAAGCTTACTGTTTGCTTCCCTTTCAGCATCCTGTGAAATAGAAGATAATCAACGCATCAAATTAGTCGCGAGTCAAATTACAAATGTTATCTAATATTGACTTACAATTTCTCCACACAAGACAACATTTTCACCTCTTATGATGATGACTCCAATATCAATGTCACCAAATTTCTTATCCACATGAATTCGTTCGATTGTTCGATGTAAGACTAAATTGGCTAGAGGTGGTGAGAAGATAAAAAATTGGAATGAAAAGTTGAGCTCAAATTTGTTGCCCACACATTTGATTTCATTAGTATCAAATAAAATAACGTTGAATGCGGCGCATTTTATGATTCAAATCATGGTTGACTGTCTGATAGGAACATAGTGTAGTTACCAAATTGATCGATGCTTCTAAGATAACCAATAAGCGTGCGACCATCACGAAGTAAAACCATCAATTTCTCTACAAAAAGAAAACAATTTAAATGAGTTTAAGTAAGGAAGCAGGGATAGGCATTACTCACTATCAAGAACTTCAATTAAACTTGCAGTGCCAGGTAAATATGGTTCCATCGTAAAAATTGGATTGTTATGGGAGTGGAGTATAGTTTTAAGAATAATTGGCACTATAAAGGGTTATCAAATTTAGGAAAATAAATAAACTATTAGATATTTATCAATAGAATGATGTCACTAAACCAATGTTTACTTTTCGGACAAAACCCATCTGCTTTTAACCTTACAGAAAAATTTTCCGAGGAAAATTGATCCCAGTTGGAAAGTAACGCCATCTAATAGATAATGTTCACAGGAAAATGAACCAAGGATTAAATTTCTTGTATTTTCCAGATTTAAATACAAATCAATTAAATTTTCATGGTTTTAGAAACAAAACTGAACAAATTGTGAAAGATTAAATACCTAAAAGGGTGATATAAGAGGTTAACATTTTTCGCTTGTATTTATCATCATACCATGTATGTCATATGTATTCGTAAAGTCTTAAACATTTACATGATGCATACGATTAATGATGTACTTATTATTGTTATTATTGATAATAATTATTATTAATGATGATTATTGGTATAAAAATTTTATCAATTTTTATGAGTCTCATGAAGATATTGGTTACAGACTCAATTAATAAGACTATAAAGATTAAAATAATTGACAGTTTCTTATTCGTTGATCAATTTTATTTACAAGTGCAGAAAAAGGTACAATTGTAGACAGGGAAAGTAAGTATATTTTGAGATTGATATTAAGTAAAATTTGATTTGATAAGTTCAATTTTTAAAATTTTCATCATTATATAATGTGATTATTTATGTACATGCATGAGTAATCGATTGTTTTGTTCTGATTTCTTTTGTTTTTTGCAATTATTCAATAGTTAATCAATTATAACAATGTATTCCTAAAGCTTTTCACCGTTTGTTTCTCATCAAAAGTTTTGGCTCATAAACTAAGTTTGGCAGGTTTTGTGAAATGCTGATCTAGTTTCAATAATATTCAGATAATTTAGCATGTCATTATTCATTTGTTCAATTTCTCTTGAATATTTATTTAAATTTTCTTCATTCTCGGTGAAGTTGTCTTCTATGTCTTGTAATATTCGAAGTTTTTCACTAGCATCTTTAGCTAATTTTTCAGCTCTCGATCTGATAGTGTCAGATTGTTTCTTTTGTGAACCAGAATCCTCTTCTTTTTGGGCTAATTTGCGTTTAGCTTCTTCAAACTTCGCTTCTAACCCTTCCACTTCACTTTCTGCTGCTTTAGCCATATCACCAGCAATACCAGCTTCCTTGGATGCTTGACTAACAGAATAAGTATTCTTGGTATAACTGATTCGAAGTCCATCCAATTTTTTCTGCAACTCTTCAATTTTAATCTTAGCCTGTTCTGATTGTCGAGCAATATTTTCAGTTTCAGATGCAATGGAATCAAGATCTATTTGAGCTCGATTAAATTGTTCATTAGCATTTTTAATTGAGTTTGCTGCTTCACTTTGTGATTCTTGAGCTATAGATAAAGCCTCTAATATTTCCTTTGCCATATCCAAGGATTTATCGGCACTCATCCTTGTTGCATTGGCATCTGATTCCAGTTTTTGGGCAGTTCGTAAGTCAGCTTCAGTTTCATCTAAAATTTTCTCAATATTTTTCACATTCTTGAGAGTTGCATTGATTTTATTGGCAAGATCAAGAATTTGTTCCGGAGTTAATGATATTTGAATTTTAAGGCAGTTTTCTGCAACTGTTCGTATCTCAGCTGGAGTCGCTGATTGAGCAGCCATAAATTCATCAATCTGTTTGAATAAATCTTGAATTTCTTTGCTCTTTGCTTCTGAATTGTTTCTGGCAGCAATAGCTCTATCATATGCTCTTTGAGCTTCACGTAAAGCTTCCTCACTGCGACGGCGAGCTTCTTCAACATTCCTCATTTCTTCTTCTCCTTTCTCACCAAGATCTTTCAACCTCTTCTCAGCATCTTGACTATAGTTAAGTGCAAATTGTGCTTTAGTAGTTACAGCATCACAAGAAAGATCACCACATTTGGCACATCCAACTCCTCCGCAAGTGCTATCACATTTATCGACTGTGGCTCGACCACCACAAACCAGTTTGTTGATATCAGGAATATTGTCTTCCAAATTTTTAATCTTAGTCGATATTGTAGACAATGCTCCTCGATTATTTTCTAATGATTTTTCATGATCGAAGTTTGTGGAAGAGATAATTTTCTCTGTTGCTTTTCTAATTTCTTTCGACTTAATATATCTAGGCATTGCGTTATTTATTGATGATTCGGCCTTTTTTGCTCTATCCACGGCATCCTCAGTCAGGCTTAAGGCACTTCGAACATCGTCAGCTTTTAATTTTGTGGCATTTTCTCGTAACTCATTATTTTGAGATTCTAAGGTTTGAGCCATCTCTTTCAACTCATCAAGTCGTAAATTTGCTCTAGCAGTACGCTGGACAGTTTGTTCCGTATCTTTCTCAGCAGCTGAAATTTTTTGATTCAATAGAGTAACTTCACTTTGAATCTCTTGAATTTTTTCGGTCACATTTTTGATATCAGCTTCAGTAACATTTGATCCGGAAATTAAAATTTCTGCATCCAATAATTTATTTTCAATGGTAACAAAAGATTTACCATAAGCTCCTGGTGCTCCTGTTTGTTTAATTTTACGAGCTCGTTCAACTAAGCGAGAAGTTTCTTCTCTCAATGTTTGAATAGTTGCATCCCAGTTCTCGAAACATTCACCACATGATTCACATCGAGGGGCAGAACCAAGGTAACCTCGAGCACATTGATCACATCTTCTACCAGATATTCCTTTGATGCAAACGCATGAACCGTCGTGTTTGTTACACTGCATAGTTGCTGACCCACTAGGATTACAATCACATGCTGAATAAAAAAGACGAGAAATTAATAATATTGTATAAGATTGATGAAAAATTATTACGAAAGGATGTTTATACGAAAGAATAGCTTTAAACTTACGGAAACATCGAACTCTTGGATCACCCCAATGATTTGGTTGACATTCATTACATTTTCGACCGCCATGTCCAGGTCTACATGCACATTGACCATCAAACTCAGAGCATCTCAAATTTTCTGATCCTTTAGCATCACAATCACAAGGTTCGCAGCCAACACCTGAAGTTAGATTCCAATGATTGATTTCACATTTATCACACTCGCGTCCAACAACGTTAGGTAAACAAGGACATTGTCCGGTTTTATGATCACACGAGCCAATTGTTTGATTTGTACCAAGAGGCGAGCAAACACATTGAACACACTGCTGTTCCAAAGCGTTTCCATAAAATCCATCACGACAACGTTCACAATGATCTCCCTCTGTATTGTAAAGACATCTCAAACATGCACCAGTTTTCCTGTCACAGTTTCCAGGTTGGGCTATATCGATATTGTTGCTACAATTACATGGGCGACATTTATTGATTTCATAAGTTCCCTATTGATAAAAATAACAAGGTAAAAATATTCAATTGATTGTAATAAACAAAATAAAGATAGATAGGAGTAAAAACATACCTGCTCATTGATCAATGCATGAGTTAAATCAACAAAGTAGTTCTCATCACACTGTTCACACCTTTCTCCAGTGTAGCCAATTTTACAAAGACAACGAGGTAAATTGGTTATAGGGTTAAGCTCACATGCTTCGGCATGAAAATCGCCAGATTCAGGTACACCGGGACATGGACACGGGCGACAAGGAATATTTTCCCCTACTAAAGGTTTACCATAATAACCCTTTACACATTTTTCACATCTATGACCTTCGGTATTGTCTAGACAGTTTAAACAAGCTCCAGTTTTAGAGTCACAAGTTTCAGCATGTGAATTACAATCACAACGCTGACAGTTGGGATAATTCCAGAAGCCAGGTTGACATTGATCACATTGTCGGCCAAAGGTGTTGGGTCGACATTTACATTTACCAGTTTCAACATTGCAAAAAGCGTTTTCCGAACCATAAGAGTGACAGTCGCAAGGGACACAACCGCTTGGTCCGAAATCATAAAAACCTTGAGCACATTTATCACATGTACGCCCGATAACGTTATCCTTACAAACACATTTTCCACCAAGTATATCACAAATGGAAGACTTTGACCCAGTAGAGTTACAATTACAGGCCTGGGCACCATTGTACATCGAAGCAGCTATCGATTGATAATATTTTTTACATGGTTCAGGGATTTGATGTTGTATGATAGAATATAAATACTCTTCACACCGAATCCGTCTATACTCTGCCAACTCTCTTTCTCGAGTAGGATCAGAAAAGATTTCAAAATCAGAACTTATTGGGATCAGCGCAAGAGAATCAACTGCTATTGTTGAATTTTCCTCTCCACCAGTCCTCTCGCCAACATCAATCCTAATTCGATACCTTTGATCCCTTTCAAAACAATAAGGGCCAGTTTTAGTATAGATTCGTCGAGCTTCGAATTGGAATGGTATTTTTTTTGGACCATATTCAAAGTTTTTTTCACATGGCGAGCCTGGAGCTGGTACAATTCCACCTGCGAGGGGTTCGATTAAAATTGATCCTTCGCTCCAGATGGGTTCAGGAGGTGAGTATCTTACAAGAATATCGTAACGTGATGAATGAGGGACACTTATTTCGAAATCAATGAAAGATTTTTCATAAACACGAACAAAACCATCTCCTGTCCACGTTGCAATATCTTCAGGTGGCATAATCCATGAAATACCACTGTGGTGAGCTTCTTCAGCCTCGTACAAAACTGCGTTAAGTGAAGGTACAAAGAAACCTGATTCAATAATATCACATCTTTGGCCAGTAACATGGGGACGACAAGGGCATTGACCAGTTGTTTCATTACATTGTAAGTTATATGATCCTCCAGGATCACAATTACAGGGACGGCAACCATCTTCGAATAATTCCAATCCATAATAATTTACTTGACAAGAATTGCAGTCTCTTCCAACAACATTATTCTTACAAACACATTCACCAGTTATTGGATTACAGCCTTGATTGCGAGTTGTTCCGTTAGTATTACAACTACAAGCTTAATAGTTCATTAAATGCAAAAATAACATAATATTAATTAATCACGTTAACGATAAATATTTGACATCAATGGGAGCGACTAAAAGAGAAATCATTTCTGATCTAGACCAGATCTATTCATAATTTTAAGTTTAATCGAAAAGTAGTTTAGTCCACTTCGAGATTATATAATTTGAAAACTTTCAGGATAATGTCGATTTTGAAAGAAGGGGATCAAATAAAAAATTTTCAATTGAGAAATTAACATGGAAAAATTCACAAAAATCAAAGGGTTTTCATGATTTTAACTTGTTCCTCGCCAATTATAGTTTAAAAATTCTGAATTTAACTATTAATTCAGTTTTGTGATGGCCAAGCTCATATCAAGTAAACATCTAAAAACATTAAAAGTTCATCACTTTTAGTCACTTCTCGTTTGTTTTTGACTACCAAATAAATACCTTGACAGCCAAGTGGATTATTTTCGTCGAAATTCCAAAAGCCAATTTTACATGTGTCACAGCGACGCCCTTCTACATTTTCTTTACAGAAACATTGGCCAGCGGCAATTCCAAGACTCTCATCAGGTTTAGTTGCACAAGTACCGTTATTAAGAGATCCTCTTTCATCACAAGCACAAGCTTAATTTTACAGGGGATAAAAAAGATCAATTAGCGTTGAAAATCTGTCATTCTAAATTCATTAAAAACTTGATTAAACTTACGAATGCAAACATATGGATCATCAATACGTCGATTCACATCTCGATAGAACTGGGGTTTACATTCTTCGCAATGATTTCCTTGAGTATTGTGTTCACAGTCAATACATTGTCCTTTAATGCAGCAATGAGAAGAGTAAAAATAAAAATATAGATTCTACTCTGAAGATCCGTCGCCGGCCACACGTGTACTGAATCTGCCAACTTGAACTA